TTATGGTTGGGGGGTCACCACAACATGAGGAGCTGTATTAAAGGGTCACGGCATTAGGAAGGTGGAGAACCACTGGCCTCGAGTTAGAAAACCAAGAGGAAATAGCACACTTGGCATAACTTAAACTAAAAGAGTTGAAGAAACATCAAATGTGAAGTTGCAATTTTGAAAGATTCTACAGACAAAACATTGAATGATGGAAGAAGCATCCAAAGAAGATAGAAAGATACACAGCGTCACTGAATCAAAAAGAGCTACTGGACATTCCACCAGTTTAGGCGGTAGCATCTAACAATACCAAATGGCGCTGAAGGGAGTTGTTCAAGCTGCGCTGGGAGCATTAGCCAAAAACAAGGCTCCAGGAATGGATGGATTACCAAATGAAGTATTTCAACATGCTGAGGAGGCACTGGAGGAGGCACATTCATCTATGCCAGGAACTTTGGGAAGCAGCTATGTAGCCAAATGATTAGAAGAGATACATATTTATCTTATTCCAAAGAAGGTTACCCAACAGAATGTTCAAACTACAGAACAATATCATTGATATCACGTGCAAGTAAAATGTTGCTGGAGATTGTCCAACAATGGTTGCAGCAGTTCATTGGCAGGGAGCTCCCATAGGTTCAGACGAGATTCAGAAGAGAACGTGGAACAAGGGAGATCAGAGTGTTCCTTTGAGGCAAAGACGGCAGGACTTCAGCTTACATACTTTGGACATATTGTCGGGAAAGACCGGTCCCCGGAGAAGGAAATCATGCTTGGTAGAGTGGAGGGACAGTGAACAAGAAGAGTGCCCTCAATGACATGGATGGATACAGTAGTGGCCACAGTGGGCTAGGCATGGACACAATTGTGAGGATGGCACAGGACCGTGCAGTGTTTCTTCTTTTGTGCATCATGTCGCTATGGCTCGCAACCGACTCGATGGCACTTAACAACAACAACAACAAGTATTTTAGTGGAATACACTCATGTAATACGTGGCCTTTGGGATCTGACTTCTTTCACTAAGAGGAGTAGTTTAGGGGAGTCATTTCAAGAGGATCCTCTGAGTGGCACAAGCAGTTCACACACTCAGATGCTAACCAAAAGGGTGGTGGATTATTCAAAGGCACCCCCGAAGAAAGACTGGTAATATACTTCTGAAAAATCAGCATTGAAAACCCGAGGGTGCACAGTTCTATTCTGACACACAGGGTTGCCATGAGTCAGAATCAACTTGGCCGCAGCTGGTACTGGTAATAGGAAGAGGCTTCAAAAGTGCATGGAAAATGAAACTGAATGATAACTGAATTCTTCCCACAAACTTTTTGAAACCTCTTTATATTTTGTAAGGCTGTCCATTTCTCTTTGGGATTTATAGTTAGAAGGTAGCGTCATTCCAAACCAAACTAAATACATTGCTATCGAGTCAAATATCAACTTCAGGAGTCTCTAGCACAGACTAGAACTGTCTGATAAGGGATGTTAAGACTTTAAATCTTTAAGGGAGACTCTGCCACAGCCTTCTCTTCAAGTAGGATTGGCGGGTTTGAACTGCACACCTTTTCGTTGGCAGCCGAGCAATTAACTGCCACCGGAACTCCTAGAAGTCCATTTAGACACCTTCTACTCAGTCCCCTAATTTTATAAATGGATAAATTGAGGCCTGAAATAACCTATATATGTCAGGGTATTAAAATCCCCTAACCTTTACTTCTATTATTTCAACTATACCAAGATAGTATATTGGGACATTTTTATTAAAATATTCAAAACATTATATTAATGTGATATGTCATGCATTAGAAAAAGATCCTACATAAGAAAATCTAATATTTTATTAAATATTTTCAAAGAGCACTATAATTTCCTGTGTGCACTCAATAATATAATGGTACTGAATGTTGATGTAGGAAAATTGGGCATAATTAGTGTATAGTATTCCACAACTTAAAGTTAGATCTCACTCTCTGTGCATAAAGATAACAATTTTTAAAAATACATTCTGAGTTACCCTTAGTGAAAGTTCCAAATTTTCTCCTCCCCAATGATACATGCCATTGTCATATTGTCCAATTTCATTAAAATAATGCTTATGGATAGCAAAAATTCCTCCAGGCATTGAAGGTGACCTAGAAGGGAAACAGAAATACTGTACTGATTCAATAGAGATGACCATTATGGATTTTTCCTGAAAATCATATGAACTATTAGTAATAACTTACAGTTAAAAACTAGAAGATAACCATATAAACCTCTATCAAAATTGTGATCTTAATGAACATTTAAGTGGTTAAATTATCAAATTAAAATGGCAACCACTTAAAATTAGGCAATGCACTTTAGTTAAATGTCATCGAGGGTGGGGGAGGGAGGGGATAAAATGAGGAGCTGATACCAAAGGCTCAAGTAGAAAGAAAATATTTTGAGAATGATGGCAACAAATGTACAAATGTGCTTGACACAATGGATATATGTAAGGATTGTGATAAGAGTTGTATGAGCCCCCAATAAATTGATTTTTTTAAAATGTCATTGAATGATATAAGCAATCTATCCTAAATATTGTCTTGGTAAGAGTAAAACATAATATTTAGAATATGAGTTTCCCAAAGAAGTACTGCTTAAATTGGTTCAAGAAACTTAGAGCTCTCCATTTCCAAGGACTGTATGTAAAAACCATGTCACAAAGCATCTTGTATCGTCCATTAATTCTAATAATGAATGCCAAACTCTAGTCAGTTTGGAAATAATTGTGTTCATTCATTTATTCATTCATTATTCTTTTTTTTCATTGTTCTTTAAAAGTATTTAAAACCTAGGATACTAGGGATAAATGTTTTAATAAATGGGCAAAGGTCATGTGAGGGCTAGGATAGTAGTAGAGAGATTAGCTAGAAGTTATATAAATGAGAAAAAGGTGACGGGATTTGGATATGTCTGGCAGCAATGTAGGTAGTGAGCAGAGGCTGAATTCTTGGGGTGTTTTGAAGATGGGGTGTTCCGTTTACTTATGGAGGAATGTGAGACATGAGAGGGAAGAGGCAATTCTATGAAAACACTCAACATGAGATCACCATACACATACACTATTGCCCCCCACAGCAGATATCTCACCTGATTGGTGTAGTGGGTCCCTCGGGCCCCTCCTGCTCATAGGAGAAGACTATATCCCACTTAAATTGTAGAGTCCAGTCAAAGGCTCCTCGCATGACAGGGATGGGGATATACTCCAGGGTTAAATGGTCAATATTATCGACCACAGGGAATACCACCATTGTAGGGTCTTTGGAGATAGCAAATAGCAAGGGCTTTATCCAACCTCTATTCACTTCACAGTGGCTATCCAGGAACACCAGCACATCTCCTGCGGAAGCAACAATGGCCTAGTGTTAGCTCACATGACTGATGTAAGTGATAACTCAAATTGAAGTTCAGTGCAATGAATATTGTTAGAGCATTTACTCTGTGCTTGACTCATGAAATTCTTTGTTTTTTTTTAACCTTCCTTGAATTTAGTGTCTTTTTAAAAAATCATTTTATTGAGAGCTCATACAACTCTTATCACAATCCATACATGCATCCATTGTGTCAAGCACATTTGTACATTCGTT